TAAAGGAAAAGGGAACTGTCACAAAAGCCAAATCTTTGTTTGTGGGGGGCTTGGAAATTCCCCTCAAAAAATCGTCACACAGGAAAAATGCCCAGACTTTTTGCCACAAAAATTCAAAGGGCTGAGGCTGTGCAGATAGTACATGATTGATAAGCCCATCTTCTTAGGGGGGATAGTAACAACTAAGGTTTTCTCTTTCCTTTAGAAAAAAACATTCACCATTTTCACTTAATTTCGTTAACGGCCTCACTCGTCGCACAGAAACCATGATCACTGCAAACTTAGAAAAAACCATCCGCGTTGAGGCCTCTAGGCCTCTTGTTTTCAATAAACTACAAATTTTAAGACGGCGGAAAAGTCAGCTGGCTGTTCGGACAAGTCAAAAAAGTCCAAGAAAGAACGTGTGTGGACGGAAATAGAGTTTAAATACCTTGCGCTTGTTGTAGCTGAGGAAAAATAGCAATAAGCCATTCGACTGGAAACACTTGCCTGGAAGAAATCTGCGAACAATCAAAGAAGAAATCTCAAAGGTCTTTGACAAGCTACTTTCGTCCGACGAGCTCAAACAAGAGAACGAATGGGAAAAAAGCCAAAGGCAAGCAGAAAAACACAGTCCATTGGCGCCAATGTTGACTCGACTTAACGACTAGTGCCCAAGCCTGTTCGTCGCGCTTTCCCGAAAATCCGTCTGGTATAAATACGGGACGAACTATAAGACACACCGATGAACCGATAGTTCGTCTTAAAGTTCGTCCTGTATTTATACTAGACGAATGATCCGTCTAGACGGATGATTCATCTTGACGGATGATCCGTCTCTAGTATAAATCGGGTTAACAAATGCAATCAAAATACAGCCAATAAAATATAGCTGTTCCCACGGTAAAAAAGGCGATTCAAAGTCGTGTAATGAGTAATTGTCCTAGTCATGTCACAAAAGCTCGACATCTCAGTCGTTTGCGTTGATTTGCACAGCACGGAATCATAACTGTAAACGATCGAGCGAACGATTGAGAAATCGTAAGCACGTAAGCACGTACTTTGCGGTGATGTCATCTATTTTCACCCCTGCTGCATTATGTTGCGTCCCAAGATCCATCCATCCATTCATCCGTCCCTCCCTCCCTCCCTCGCTCCCTCCATCCATTCACCCATCCATCCTACTACAACTACACTACACTGCACTGCACTACAATGCAACACAGTACAAACTTTATTTAGAGAGGGTATTAAACAATTATTAGATTCGGTTTTTGTGATATCCAGAATAATCAAGGTCAAGGTAGGGGTTATCAGCCGAA